TTTGTTTGTTTGTTTTTCAATCAGTTCTTTATTTTATTTTTTTTACTCTCACCTCACTTGGTGTGGTGCTTCCTACTGCACACATTTCATTTTTGCTATTCCCAAGGCTGCAATGAACAATATCAATAAGAATAATAATTTCATCTATGATCATTTGTGGGTTGTACCTGATGATCTTGTCTTTTGTGAACCACCAGTTTTATCCCAAACAGCCAGTAACATGTTTTGGCCAGTTGTCAGTCTTTGCACTATTAAGCTTTTACATCTGGTTTTGCAGCATACCAGGCTCAACTACAGTTAGGACAAGATCCATCAAATGACTGTCCAGACCGTGACCGGACAATACGCACTGTGGTCCAGAAAACAGGAAGCAACCAGCCTATACTGGGAACAGAGTACCAGGAACGGAAGATTTCCGTCCAAAACCGTGAGTTCACCCCAAGATGAGCCTAAATGTGATTTGGGTTTTTTGTTTTGTTTTGGGTTTTGTTTTTGTTTTTTTAAGCTGAAGCACCTGTATAAATCTTTTAAATAGATGCTTGGTACAATATGAATTGGTAGTTTTGTTCAAATAACTGTGAACTTTTTTTTTTGGTTGTTCTTCCTTCATTTTCATTATGTGATCATTTTTGCAGAAATAAAGGATTAATAGTATGATATCCCGATGGCCTTTTAATTTGTAGAGATGGAAGTGAATTGACGAATGCTGTCCAGTTCTTTGAGCTTCTGAAATTAGGGCACAACAGAGGAAGTTGAATTTAATCATGTATGTTTGCATTGTCTGGACAGAGGCAGATCTGGTGATCAATGAGGTGATGTGGTGGGACAACGGGGTGTATATCTGCAATGTTAATGCTCCTGGAGACACCAGTGGGATCACTTCCAAAGAAGTCAAACTCATTGTCTACAGTAAGAAAGAAAATATGAATGCATAAGATTAAACACAGCAGAAGCTGCAGCTTCTGTTAATGTTATTAATGCTGTAACATACGCAAAAACCTAGTCTGCTTCTTAAGACACAGAACACAGAGCGTCTCCCTTTTTCTTCGTCTGCCTACAGACTGGTTGACTGCGTTGCTCATCATCATCGGTGCTCTCCTTCTCATCATGCTCTTATGCATCTGCTGCTGCCAGTGCTGCCCTCAGATATGCTGCTGCTATGTCCGCTGTCCCTGCTGCCCTCAGAGGTGCTGCTGTCCTGAGAAAGGTAAAAGCTTTCATTCAAGGGCGCTTCAACAACAGAAGTCAAGGAATAAGGCAGTTTGGGAGTTGAGGAGGAAAAAAAACCAAGCATGAAGGAAGGAAGAATATTTCATTGCCTGTATATCTAGTGAATGTTTGATTGCTGTTTCCATTGCTCCACTCAGTTTGGTCATTAACAGATCGTTTCTGCAGGCCTTCATTTGTGTTTGAAAGTACCTATTGCTAATAGCCTTAGTGAAATCAAACATGTGACCTTATCATGCTGCAAATAAAAAGCCCATATACTTTGAGATAGCCTCACTGAATCTGTACATACTAGAAATTGTTGTTCTCACGTTTTAGCTGTGATGCAGCATCGTATGGTGAAGCAGGCTCAGAAGGCCATGAATCCTTGGTTAGGAGGACAACCAATATATGCACCACTGAGCTCCGCCCCCAGCCAGATGAACCCAATGCTCTACGCTGGTACATGCACACATTAATCTGCACATATTAAAGTGACAGACTTAAATAGGTTTTAATTTGCTGTTTCCTTAAATTTTCTAAATGCTTTTCTTTCTTTTTTTTGTCTTCAGGGTCTGTTGCAGGGAGCAGCATCCCTTTAAAGACTATGCCTCTCCCTCCTCCTCAGTCTTCAGCTTACAGC